GAAAGGATCGAGAGGACGTGATAATTCATTGGAAAAATTTCAGATACGAACTTACGACACGTGCCGCCTACATCGCCATTAAATACAAAAAGTAAGTTCGGCAAATAGCGTCAGCACGGATAGAAGGTAAAATCCCTCGATGAGCTACTTTTCTTTATCCTGGCTCAGTGTAAGAATCAAAGCGTCGTAACCGAGGGACTTTTGTCTATTGTCGATCCCAGGGCGATGAGCCACCCAGGAAAAAAGCGCTAGAGCCGGCGACACGCGCTGATCGTCCGTCAGAATCACGTACCACTGTAATTGCCGGCAATGCTGCTGTTATTACGCTTGTGTCCCCCATCCCCCATCCCCACCACCTCCGTCCTCTCTCTCCTCGACCCTCTTCCGCCTAACCCTCGTTTCGTTCCAGGGCAGAGAAGCGCTTAAGCCGTTCGTGTTTTGTCGCTCTCCCCTCGGAATTGGAGTCGAGGAGGCCAAGGTCCTCGATATGCGCTACGCTGGCCGCGTTTTATCAAGAACGCGCCGTACAAAAAAATCTTTTTCACCTATTGGCCAAACTCGGACGGTCGCATTATCGAGGAACCGTGCGAGATTCTTAATATTCGCACTCAACCTGAGATAGAGAACAATCAACAAAAGTACATTTAATGGCTTTTTATTTGACTATGGCGAAGTTGGCGTGGGCGGAGATTTTAAGGACGATAGCGCCAAGTCGTGGCGATGTCTTAATTTGCACATGGAGCGAGCGAGAGATTTCAATCGTAAAAATAATATCGTACCATATACGTCACGTGAGGCCGTTTTCTCGAGAAAAATGTAAAATACTATTTAACCTTTTCATCCACGCGCGCGAATGCAATTATAAATTAACTTTACGTTATTCGAGCGTTTGCCAATATGGTTTTATGGCGCGATCGCCGATTAATTGTATATTTGCAATTCGTGCTGGCACTCCCGTGGAATTACACCCTAGACAATTTTTAAATATTTATTTAATGATACACTAGTTATGAATATTTTGTAATAAGATATTCAACTTTTTTTTTTATACGAACTAAACGGTACGAATTAGAGGCCGAGTTCTGGTCTCTTGTCCGAGAAACGAGATTCATTAGATCGATTAATCAGTCCTTAGAGAGGAAATGGATAAAGCTGTTATTTGAAAATGATGCGTGATTATAAATCGTATCGAGTGTTTGTAAGTGCCTTTCAAGAACATTGCGCAAATACAAAACTTACGCAAAACCAGCACGAAAAAAAAAGCTTTCGTTAAATGCATTACATCGTGCATTACACATTGCGTTTATTCGAGAACAATTAGATGATCACATATACTTCTCGTGCCTTGTCTAATCAGTAAATAACATCAACTTACATAAGTTTCACGTTATTTAAAGTCAAAGGCTCGATTCTTAAAAACATTGATTTTTTGTTAAATTGCAAATAATACAAAAGAGTCCGTAATTTTTTTATTATTATTATTATTTTTTTTTCCAATACAAATATAACATCGTGTATTCATACGTTGACGCAGAAGTATAAAATATTTGTACCGAGTTGTCACTAATGCGATTACAGTTATGCATAAATGACCTTCATTACCGGTGCTTCGATAGATCCAAACTATACATAAAATGCATGTACTTGCGCGCGCGCGCGCGCTCGCATGTATATATATATATATAGAGAGAGAGAGAGAGAGAGAGTGAGAGAGAAAAGGAGATTGTAAATTTACGAGCAATTGTCATGTCGAGTTATTATTTATAGGATAATGAAAAAGATACAAAGGTAAAAAACATTAACGTGATTATTGCTATTGTTTTATAAGCATTTTATATACGTTATTAAATTAGTCACCATTGATACAAGAACTCAAACGTTTTATACAAATATTATTGTTGCGATAATGTAAAAAGAAATTTTAGTATCGCTATCAGTTCGAATTTACCTGTATGATCGAATAATCGGTTAGCGAAACATTTTTAAAGCATTTTCAGTGAAAATATGAGGCCATCATCATATATTATGTACAAAAATCGTATCAACGAGAAAAATGTTACTTTGAACGGGAGTACGAAGACAATCATAATAGCCATTTGACAAGAGCTTTAGAAAAGCTCGGCTGAACTTTCGCAAATCCAATTCCACTGTGTCCAAATTCTCATCAGTCCCGTGACTTTTACATGCAAGCAGCCACATTAATTATTCCATACAAAATGGAAATCTCGTAGCTACCAGCGACTCCCTGACCACACAAATCCAATAGGCAAAACAGCAAAGTTAGTTGGTCGAATAATACAAGCTCACTATTATGATTAACATGTTGTGCCCTTCGATCTTTTTTCGGTACATTGTGGCGCGCATGAAATCTCGTAACTCGATCCGTGAATATGAACGAAAGCCGAGTCACGAAAGTCCCAAGCCCTCTCCGACCTTTTCAGTCTTCGTGGCCAATAAATGGCGCTCCAACAGGTTGGTAATATCGCATTAAGAGTGCGGGCGGGGGAGGGGGCGGGGGGAGGGGGAGCAGCAGGTCCGACACATTAGCAGTCTCCCTACCCTTATATCTCGTCTACGTGTCTCATATACGCCAATTCCACTATCGAGAATCTTCGGTACTTCCAAGGTCATGCCTCATCAACATCAAACTGTAATTCTTTATTTCGATACTGAGTAGTCGTAAGTTGCTGCCGCCGCTTTATGATCGCGGCCCTTTTCGTATAATTGCCGAGATGAAATAACGAGGAATAATGGGACGTATACGCGTCGTGCACAAGTGGCGCACTTTCGTCCCGGGAAGCGAGTAAACAAGTTTCTCGGAATGACGAATGGCCACGGGTTAACTAAGAAGCGCGACGACGAAGGCACTAGTTATCGGCGCCAAGACGGCCGATAGACTTTATTCGCAGAGCCAGCCAATATTCATGCTCGCAGCATTAGCAACAGCCCTTATCTAGAGGGCATTGACCCGCGAATTAGAAAAGGATTGCGCCGGTCGATTTTGGTTAGCGACGACGATTGGATTGACAGAGGAGCGAGGACGACAGGCGCGTATCTGTGCTCATCGTGCAAACTCATCAGCGATCACTCGCGACACCGTGATTCGACATTCCCATTCCAAGGAGTAAAAGGACAAGGATGAGGAAGACGAGGAATACCTGGGCACCTTCGAAAGCCGCCACGTGCCTCCTCGGCGTCGTCGTCCCGTCTTATTCGAGACTTGTGAGCACGAGGCGACGCGGTCGTCTCTCGGAAGCTCTCGTGATCGTCGCGGCGAGAGCTGTCGTCCGACGTTTCACGAATGCACGATTTTCAGAACTTGGCACGCTGAGATCGTGGCCATTCGTGTCAGCACTGCTTTCCGTTTCTCTGGCTTTTATGCCTCGACGAAGCCGTGTAAAGTCATACGATGATCACCAAGAGGCAGGCAGGCTTATATGTCCATCGAAAATTTACTATGGAAACTATATTGGCATTATTCGAGATGAGTTTGGTTGAATGTGACTGTGCGCTGCACCTGACGCCAATGTCGTATTGTGCATTTTCGAGATACCCATTTGTAAATATTAATTGCATGAGAGTAGTGAGAGAGAGAGAGAGAGAGAGAGAGAGAGAGAGAGAGAGAGAGAGAGAAAGAGTTAGAATATGAATATTAATTGACTAGATTACAAAGAAAATATTTAAGCTCATTTGAATATCGAGCAAGTGCGAATTATATGATAATGACATTCTCAGGCTGAAATTTATTATTTAGAATTTACAAAGTCGATGAATTTGTGAGTAAAGAAGCCATATTTATAATATCATTAATTATCCGTTTGGATCGTTGGAAATTCGTTTGTCCCTTTTATACGAGTAATCTAGTCGTAATAATACGTCATTATATCTTATTTTATTTTAATAGACACTGAATGAATGAATGAAAAATGAATGTCGAACGACAAGAGCTGCGGTGTGATTGAAGTTGAGGGAGGGGGGGCTGGATGCTTATTTTTAAAAGTCCATTATGTTTTGATTCGTAAAATTAAACTAAAATTATCAATGACTCGGAATAGTCTTGCACGAATTTTTCAATTTATGTGGCAAGTACTGACCGACTTGGCCATCTTAATTTAGGTCATAATCACAATTTCTCCTCGGCATTAAGAAATCGTTTCTTTACACGGTCAACGAGTAAACACAGATTTAATTGTACGCGTTAATGCCTTTTTCGTCGATCCTTATAACGATGGGTCATTCCCAGGATTTCCGCTATAATGTTCTGACTAATCGCTACACGACCTTACTCGCATATATAACACGCGCACACATACACGCTCGCTCAACATTAGAACACTTTAAGTTTGAGAAAATTGCTACCCAATTATCATAAGGTATGAGCGATTGAGCGTATATCTCGTTTATACAGCTCAGGGCCATCGAAATTTCATCAAAATTTCAGATAGAAAAAATTGAAAAATTTATCGGCCACTTCAATCTGTCGAGTGAAATAAAAGTGAAAAGTACACGTAGGCTCTATCGCCAATGCATTCACGATGCATCTCGCTCGTGGGCTATACAAATACAACCAAGGTTTTGCATTTATGTGGGCGGGCGCGCGCGCGAGTGTTTATTTGTTTGTTTGTTCGGTCGTTTGTTCGTTCGTTTGTTTGTGTTTGTGTGTGCGTGTGGGTGGGTGGGTGCGTGCGTGCGTGCGCGCGCAATGACCCTGTCAAATCACCGTATCGCGTGTCGTACTATTTGCGCAAACTCGACCGGTCGCTTGTTGGATGTAAAGCCGTGGCCCCTGTTCCATGAGGAAGTCCCGCGTCCTCGGCGCCTGCGCAAATTCGCGCACGACGTCACCTCCGTAAATGCGAATTCCTACGACGGAGGTAGGGCCAGAGGGGACGACAGCAGGTGTGCGTACATCGCCTGACAAGAATTCGCGATAATGCTCCATGGCAGTCGTGTCAATTGACATTGATGAACATGACATGCTCCTTTTCTTTCTGTTGCAGACATACCAGAAATACCGGAGAACATCAAAAACTTGCGTTCCCTACAAGTTGCCGACTTCAGCAGCAATCCTATACCCAGGTAATACAGAGTTAACTTTTTATCGGCACTTTCTTTCTCCTTGCAATCTCGTGCATTATATTGCGAGGGTCAACAAAAATATATACACGCGCGCACACGCTCACACACGCCCACGCATTAGATAATGCCTCTTATCCCGCGGTTATTATTAAACCCACGTGCACAAAACTTTTTAATCCAAATTAAATTACAATGAAGCATTTACGAGCGAGTGCATAGTCGGATATAAATTATATTTATTTCTATTTTTTTTTCTCTCTCTCTCCCCATTGTGTGTATAATAATAAGAGGGAATTGCAAGAATGATGAACAATATTTTCTTCTTATGACTACTGTGAAATTCATGCCAATAAATAACCGTTTTTATAATAATTCTTTTATCAATTGAACACGACAATGTTTCATCCGACCTACAAATAACAAATCAACAAACATTTGCAAAATAAGTCAGTCGGTGGTAAAAATTTGGGTATTGCATCGTTCGTAATTGCCAATACTCGTTTAATTAACCAACGAGTTAAAATGACCGATTTTCTTACAGAGCTCTTCGTAATACTTTTTTTATCAACTGAATAAAATCGTTTGATACTTTAATTGATAATAATTTTATTCATAACGTTATCGTCTATTAAATCAGAGTATTAAATTAAACCATTTGAATATATAATGAAGCTTCTTTCAACAAGACGATATTCCATTATTTAAATATATATATATATATATATATATATATATATTTTGAAAATTTCGATGATTCGATAAGATTGGATGGCTTGTTTATTTATATTTACAATTGTGTAGCTTTGGCACAGTAATGCATGAAGGTAACCTACATTCGTTCGCATGAAATAAGCTTTTGATATGGTAATGGATAAAAAGTTTATTGCGTAGAGTAAAAATAAAGTTAATTAAAAAAAGTGAATTATTTCTCGATTATCACAAACGTTTTTTAATTATAAACAATCGAAATGCATTTTTGTATAAAACTGTATATAAATATTATCATTGCATACTTGCTGTATTCATTTACTCTACACTTGATTATGGAACGGCAAGAATTCTCCCTTATCGATTGTTTGATAAGTTTCTTTTTTTTATTTTTTTTTTTATTATTATTATTATTTTTTTTTTTTTTATTTTCTTATTTGATAGCAAACTCACCTGAAGATAGTGCTTTAGGTGACTTATATGATGAATATTTACAATGTATCGGTGAATTTCTCACATACCTTCGCATTCTTAATTTATGTTGCATTATTGTAAAGCTTATCATACAGTTGACATTAAAAATCATTGCAATATTTAACATCGTTCAATTTAATATTTTCCTTACGCAATCCGTTGCTTTTATTTATATAATTTTTATTGGAAAATGCTAATAAAAAATGTGTAAGTTTTAATTTGAAATTTTCCCCTGCGCACAAGTGCACGAGTAAATATAAAGATGACGTATCGTAACATTTTATTGTTACAATTTTAGAATGTCTTTATAATAAAAGATTATTGTTCGGCTTCATCATATTATTATGTTTTAGACATTTTTCAACTAAATAATTTGCAATGATGTTGATTGAAAATTTTTTATTTTAAACCGCGTTACGAATATTCTATACTCTATAAACAATCAGCCCGTCATTTTTATCAAATCGTTATAAATACAATTTGTTGTCCAATTCTGACATGAAATTGAACATTCAGAGCGAACAAAATATTACTTTTAGATAAATGATTACTTTAACGTGAAAAAGTCACGTGAAATGAAATAATTGCATAATGCGTAATTAATTTTAGTTATTGCAAAGAATTTATTCATAATCTTGTTTATGCTATTGAGGCAAATAGTGATTATGATACTACTAGTGTTCATAAATCATTAAATTCTTACATTCTAGCATCTGTGCATTTTTAATATAATGTTATATTAAAAAAAAATTAATAATAATGATTAAAAAAAAAAAAAAAAAAAACATTGTTTAGTGCACTGCATTTTTTAATTACGGAAATATTTTTCATTTAAAACAATAATGGACAAACAACAATAAATGCAATTTCATTCTATCACATGACATTTGTCACACATGTGACGTTTGGGCGTATACCTCGTTTCGCGTTTATATACGTTGATCGAATATGAACAATTCGAATAAAGAAAATGCATAGGCGTTCGATTGTAAAGATGATCTGTCGCGAAAATGGAAAATTCTTGCCGAATTAGAGCCACATGGATTTTCGACTATTTTTCACTTTTGTATGTAATGCAGCATTCCTTACACATTTCTGTATTTTAAAATATAAATTCGCCCATTGTCCTATTCAAATTCTAAAAAGTATTATGTCTAGTATGCATTACTTTCTAAAAGAATTTGAAGGTAACGGAAGAAAATTATATTTCAGGCTTCCTTCCGGATTCGTGGAACTAAGAAATTTAACAGTCCTTGGCCTCAATGATATGTCTCTTTCACAGTTACCACCAAACTTCGGAGGGTAAATCATCATTTTTAATATTTTTACCACATTTATAGTATTAAATTATTTTATTTTGCATAGTTGCGTAATTAGTGATATAACGATGTATTCAATTATAAGTGTTTTTAAAGATTTTCTTTTGTTGGCTGCTTTTTTTTCTTTTTTTTTCATAAATCTCGAATGAATATAAAGATTGGAAAATCTAAAATTTTTCAATATTAATTGCATCGGTTACACTTGTCTTACTAATTTTATACATTTATAGTAACTTTTTCATCTTTTTTTTTCTCCTTTTTATTATCTTGCTATAAGTATAGTATATAGTGTACAATGATCGATACATATTAGAGAAAAAAAAAAATGTCTCGGTTCTAAATTTAAAATTTAAAATCGTCTTTAAAACTGTCTAGTATAATTCTTATATTCTTTATATTCTCAACTGTTTTTAGAAAATAGTTAAACAGTTTGTTCTATTCTATTTCAGTCTTGAAGCACTGCAGTCACTGGAATTGAGGGAAAACTTGCTCAAGTCATTACCCGACAGTCTTTCGCAGCTGAAAAAGTTGGAAAGGCTAGACCTTGGGGATAATGACATCGAAGAATTGGTAATTTCTCTCTTATTCAAATGCGTTAATCGACTCACTAACGTATGAAGTAGGCACTTTTCATTTTCTTATCAAAGCATCGCCATTACACATACACAAGATGGGCTTTATGTATTGAGTAAGCAGTTTGCAATTCTTGGACTGACTTGGTTCGTTCGCAAATATAACTTCATTAATCTCTTATTTATTACGAATGTCCCCAGTCCCTATTGAGACTTGATATTATTTTTATCTATCTTTAGAACTTGGATTGTTTTGAAAGTTCGTAAAATTTTAACTAAACTAGTGATTTAAATGAGTAAGACGAAGGGCAGTATTATGTCATATTGTACGGCTAATGTTAGAATAATTTTTTTTTTTTTTTTTTTAGATAAAAACGTGAAGTCGTAGACGCATACTAACAATAACAACCACGAGTCATATTGAGTTCTATTAATTTATTTAAATATACGACTAACAATATCGTAATATAAATCTAGAAATACGTTTTCACCATACGAATACGAATGATTTTAATAATGAAAGCTAAAGTAGTAGCCTTAACAGAAGGAAAACGAAGAAGAAAAAAAAAGACGAAGAAGAAGAGTATTGTTAATCATAATTAATACTAATTCGAAAGTATCCAGTGGAAAAGAATAATTAAATCTCAGCAAATCTCCATTACTAATCTCTAACATTGCTTGTGTGCATTTCAATTATTCTGTCAACAAAGTAAAATACCTCGTCAACTCTCAATCTATTCAACCGTATTATTATTCCAGGCGATAAATGTGATAAAATTTTGCATAAATGTGCTTTTCAAATTAAATCCGGTACTACAAAAAAATATCATGGACAGGCTTTCGCGAATCGCTCTTAATTATTAATGGCTTTTGAAAAAATTATTTACCATTATTCGGAAATAAGTAGAATATAATCATTAGCCATTTACAATGAAAATTTCAATTAACGGTTATTAAAGCATTGCTCGCTTATCGCCTCCCCCCCCCCCCCCCCACCCCAATTAAAACCAATGCAAGACTGCTTAAAATATTTAAAAAATTCAATTTATATTTGCACGAGCGATTGTTATCGTTCTCGGTTCGTAATTCGCGATTAGAGCGACGTATAAATAATGCCATTGGCAATATAAGCGAATGGACGTATAATTTTAATCAAGCGAGTCGGGCCTGGTCGCCTTGATTGCCCGCTCAACCTGATATCGAATTAAGATTAGGATTCTCCCAATAAAATGACAATTAAATCACGAAATGACATTGGCTGTGGACTTAAGCCGCCACACATAGGTAAGCTACCTGCGCTTCAGGAGCTCTGGCTGGACCACAATCAGCTGCAACATCTACCCGTGGAAATTGGCGAGCTGAAGACCCTCGTGTGCCTCGACGTCTCGGAGAATCGGCTGGAGGATCTGCCAGAGCAAATCGGCGGCCTCGAGTCCCTCACCGACCTCCACCTCTCCCAGAACGTCATCGAGAAGCTGCCCGACGGACTTGGTGATCTCACCAAGCTCACCATCCTCAAGGTCGATCAGAATAGGCTCTCGGTGCTCAATGCTACCGTCGGCAGTTGCATCAACCTCCAGGAGCTCATACTTACCGAGAATTTTCTGCTGGAGCTGCCCGTCTCAATAGGGAAGCTAGTCAAGCTCAACAATCTTAATGTCGATAGGAACAGTCTGCAGTCTCTGCCAACGGAAATTGGTAATCTTTGGTTTAATCGACTCCTTATATCAGCTGCCATCCTATCTGTCGTGCATTTTTATTATTAAAAGTCATTAGCAGCCGATTGGCGTTTTACAATACTTTGGCAACACATTGTCTCCGTTCTTCTAACTTATTATTTCATTGTTCGTTGGATATAGGATAATGGACAGATTTCTTATGCTGATTACTACTCGTGAGATAAATGAGATAAAAGACATTAATTATTATGAGTTAAAAGTTTTAAAGTATGACCGTAACATATAATGGCATATCGATGTTTAACATTCGGGAGAATTGTTTCTACAAAAAATAAACTTTTGGAATCTAATTCGCAGTCTAATTGCAGTTAGTGACAAATTTTGATTTCTAGTATATTGCTAACTTTGCCTTCATCGTCCAAACAATAGAATAGCTTCTCTTTCCTTTTCTTTTTTCATTTTTGTTTTTCTATTTTTTTTTTTTTTTTTTTTTTTTTTTTTTTTTTTTTTTTTTATTGCTTTTCTTCCATTACCCCTACCTTATGGAATATTCATCTATTGGCTGTAATTCATTCATTAAGTTTTTATATCTACTTTCGCAATTAATGATTTTGGTCTCTTATCGAGAGAGAAAAAAAGTTAATAATTATATAATCGAATTATAAAAATTTATATTAAATACGTATTATTGCTGTACTAGATGAAAAAAAATTTTTTATTAAAATTTCAAAATATATATTAATTGCTTCTCTTTTTTTTCCTCTTTCTCTCTCTCTCTCTCTCTCTCTCTCTCTCTCTCTCTCTCTCGCTCTCTCTCTCTTCTTATAATCGTTAATTTGCTTGTTTTATTACGACTGCGAAGATTTTCCTTATATACTTAATGTGAAAATAAAATATTAAAAAAAAATTTTTTTTTAGTCACATGCAAGAAGTATAAGAAAAGTTGAAGACTTTCGTGCACCCTCGTGCATTCTAAATATAAAATTTGAATTAATTTTATCTAATTTTTGGCGTACTTTAATAAACAACAAAATACATTCAGAAAGTACGCTTTAAGTATATAAAACGTAAATATTGTTACTAACAATTGCTCTAAAATTTAGCTAACATTTTCTTGAATAATTATTATTGATATTTAACATATGGCTTTCGCTCATACATGTCTTTGTTATATATACGAAATACGCCTTTCAACAGTACAGAACTCGATATTAATTTATTGTAGATCAATTTAAATCCAGCATCATTAGTCAAAGGTAGAAGTTTACGATTTTTTTACATTCAATTCAAGCAGTTATGAATTTGCAATAAACATTATTATAATCTGTATGACATATCGAGTATCGCGTGTAAAATTGAAAATATCTTATCGATATTCGCTTGATTATTGACGTTTTAGTGACAAATATTTGATCCAACATGAAAACTGGAGGTACACTTGTTAAAATGGGCATGCGCTTTTTGTCATAAAATAACCCTACTTTTACTTGAAAACGGAGCTTCTTAATAATGGATCACTATGCATATATATATATATATATATATGTGATATTCACAACTTTAATTATCTCGTTAATCTCGATCTTAAACTTACATCGAGTCGGACGTGTTTCTTCGAACTCATCAGGCTAAAATATTTCACATTTATAAAGCACAAAGTATGTGCTATAAAGATTCATCGCGTTTATATGTAAAGCTCCTAATAATTCCCTCTTATCTATTGTATTATTTGCAAGACGAAGGAGCACTCTCCACGAACAATATTCGTAAAACATAATGCATTGTGCGCCATTAGCGCAACGAGGCTAACGAAATTATGAGCTCTCCC